TTATGTTCCTTGATTTTGCGTTCCTTACATGGTTTGGTTATAATGGGAAACCTTTGACAGTTCGCCTTGAATAAAACTCCTCCAGCAATGCCCAACCTTGGTTTTACCATTTGCCACCTAGCCTCTTTTTCCCTTGGGTTCCGCAGACTCAAGTGTCATCTTTATTTTAAACCCCCGAGCCAGTGCTCCTCTGAGTGTTGGTCCAAAATAGAGCCACTTGCAGCGCCACCTCGGGGAAACTCGAGGGTTGGTTTTAGTTGTACGTAGTGTTCATCCGGTGTGCCCTGAGAATGAGATATGTGCAGCTCCTATCGGGATTTGTCGGCACAGCGGGTGGTCTTGCTGGACTTGTTTTACCATTGTCGAGATTTCTTGTAACCGGGATTCCGAGTCTGATCGGATTGTCTTGGGAGAAGGAATATCCTTCGTTGACCGTGAGAGCTTGTGATGGGCTAAGTTGGGACACCCCTGTAGGGATTTGAACTTTCGAAACTCGTGCCCGCGGTTATGGGCAGATGGGAATTTGTTAATGTTCGGTTGTAGATAACGTGAAACTTAACTTAATTAAAATGAATCAACAGCGTGTGTAGCCGTGATGGTCTCTTTTCAGCGAAGTCCGGGAAGAGAACACGGTCTCGAGTTATGTTTGAACTTAGGTTGTTCTAGGATCACTTCTTGATCATAGATTCTCGACCATGCCTTGCCTTCTCTTCTCACTCTCATTTGCGTATGTTAGCCACCATATATGCTAGTGCTTGCTGCAGCTCCACCTCATACCTTTTACCTTACCTATAAGCTTAAATAGTCTTGATCGCGAGGGTGTGAGATTGCTGAGTCCCCGTGACTCACAGATTCCTTTCAAAACCAGATGCAAGGATTGATGATACCGCTCCAGGAGATACGACTAAGCTCAAGTGGGAGTTCGATGAGGACTCAGGACGATACTACGTTTCCTTTCTAGACGATCCGTAGTGGAGCCCAGTTGGGGCGATCGGGGACATTATGCATTTGGGGTTGTCTTTATTTTGGTTCCGTAGTCGGACCTTGATTGTACCTGGATGATTATAATGGTATATTTATGTTATGGTGTGACGTGGCGATTGTAAGCCAATTATGTATCTCTTTTCTTATTCAGTACATGGGTTGTGTGAAGATTACCCCACTTGCGACATTGCTTACAATGCGGTTATGCCTCTAAGTCGTGCTTCGACACATGGGAGATATAGCCGCATCGTGGGCGTTACAATTAATGCATATAAAACATACAAAATAGATAATATAAAAATTATAGAGACGTTGGAGACGTATCAACCAACTCCTTAGTCTTTTGCTTGCAAGATTATGATGTGTATTACCGAGAGGGCCCAGAGATACCTCTCCGATACTCGGAGTGACAAATTCTAATCTCTATCTATGCCAACTCAACAAACACCTTCGGAGATACCTGTAGAGCATCTTTATAATCACCCAGTTACGTTGTGAGGTTTGATAGCACACAAGGAATTCCTCCGGTATTTGTGAGTTGCATAATCTCATATTCGAAGGAATATGTATTTGACATGAAGAAAGCAATAACAATAAAACTGAACGATCATTATGCTAAGCTAACGGATGGCTCGTGTCCATCACATCATTCTCCTAATGATGTTATCCCGTTATCAAATGACAACTCATGTCCATGGTTAGGAAACCTTAACCATCTTTGATCAATGAGCTAGTCAAGTAGAGGCTCACTAGGGACATAGTGTTTATCTATGTATTCACATATGTATTAAGGTTTCCGATCAATACAATTCTAGCATGAATAATAAACATTTATCATAAATAAGGAAATATAAAATAACAACTTTATTATTGCCTTTAGGGAATATTTCCTTCAACATATTGACACGGCAACAACACATGTGGACACGAGAAAACTAATCCCATACTAGTCCTATAGCGAAATCGTTGTGACGTCACAATTCTGGGCTCGTGATAGACCCTTGATTTGATCTAGCTCGACATACAGGTGATATATCGAACTAGCGGTGTTGGACACGTCAACCCCGGGACACAATTTTGAACGTTTGGAGATCACAAAATCCGAAAGATGAAAGCAAAAATACCTTTTGATCGAATGGTCAATGACTCTATTTATGTATAAAAAACATATACTTTTCATCTTATGCATTAATTTTGACGTAAAAAATACAAGAACTTTCAGTCAGTTGTACGATAGATGCCCCCGTCACCCCCTCCCCCTCCCAACCACCCTGAGTGGGATCAACTCCAACAAAACCCATCATCTTTTAATTTGCAAAGTTTTCAAATAGATGAATTTCTACATTAAAATCACACATATGGAGCCTCTAAACCCCAAGTACACATAATTCCAGTTCACTAGCTAGTAGTTTCCCACTTAAGTCCCCACGCCATATAGTCAACCAACCAAGAGAAACTATTAATTTACCAATTTTAGGTTTTCAATTGAACAATTATAAACCTTAAATGTGTGATCATGTATAGCTTTTCAACCTTCATGGCAACTAACCTTCCATTGTACAACATCCTCACCCACACGATCCCCAAAAAAATCTAGACACAAACCTACCGGTGCCTCGAAGACAAAGGAAAATAAGAGGTTTTCTACAAATTGAAGCAGACAAGTCGGCTATTGTTTCAAAAAGACCACAACTTACCTCATAATCATTAGATGCAGATCAATGGTCAGAAATGACGGATGGTAGACACACCATCATCACCAATTGAGCCTTTTATAAGAGTAGAGAAGATTTACCATGCCAATGGCTACTTGCCATTGCACTAGGAGGCTCTCTCCATATTGGTTTAATTTCATACATTTGCCAACAAAAAGGGCACATCTAAACAAAATGTATACTACTATTTAGAATCCATGTTTTTTATACTAAAATTTTCCTACTTTTTTGTGCGCTCTTTAAATTTTCATCCAAAGAGGATTTCTAGAGTTTTTAAGGGGAAATCATAATTTTACCCAAATGTTAAGTGCCACACATGTGGCACGAAGTAACACCGCCCCTGCCCTTTTTACAACTAAGTTTGCCATGCAAAAAAATATATAAAAAAACTAAAGTTTGCCATCCAAACAGAAAGTTGCCATGCTTCACAACTAAAATTGCCATCCTCGGGTAACTAAACTGGCCATCAAAAACTGCCAGGGCGAAATTGCTTCGTGCCACACATGTGCCACTTATCGGAGTCCTAATTTTATTACTTAACCATGTCTGGGTATATCACCCAAATGAAAAACAACAACTCCGAGTGGTATATCAGATGTTCAACAAAGATTAGTATAAGGCAAACACAAAGACCCTTCTCTCGCTAACTCATGAGCTACCATGTTCACCTCATGGCGACAGACAACTACATCGATTTGAGAAAACCACATCTTCAGTTGGAACTTCACGTCTTCCTTGCACCTAAGGAACATGTGTGCACCGTCTTCGTCCACTCGCCCACAAAAATATGCATTTCGTATTTTCAAACTTTACTCCCCTTCTCATCAAATTTGTTTAGACTATAAGGGAATCATGCTTTTGTATCTGATTTATCGTCTGCATTTTCAAGATGGATTGTCACACAAGTCCAGGTTCCATGTAGTGGTTGAGCTACTGTTCAAAGCTCCATTACGCTCTACATGAGAGAGTTGCACATGCAACCTATATGCATGTCAAAAGGAGTGAATCGCTTTGCTACCAAAGTGGCAACAATAATTTTGCAGTATATGCCTTGTATCATCCGACCAGAACTTCTTTCACGCCAAGCTCTCATCCTGGCTTCCTGTCACTAGGATAATTAGGTCACTGATATAGTCAAGTAAACTAGGATCTTGTGGCATGATCACTTTCTTGGACTGGGCCATAGGAATCCATGGGAAGGACCATATTTTAGCATTTGTGCCATCACCGATACGCCAAAATATAACCTTTGCCTAACCATCATGTAAAATGCTACACCACGAGTAAGAGATGTCGTCTCGAGGGAACAAGGCTTTTCAAAGAACTTAAGTAAGAAAACAAGGATGGTGCTCCAATTGGGCCGACCCATCGATTGCGCCTCTGCTCCAGTTGGACAGTCATTGACATAGGCTGGAAATAAGAAAACAATTATGATATGTGTGTACGTGGGCACTAAAAAAGTTTCTTTTTTCATTTTAAAATTAATTTATTTCGTTGAAACCGCCAGTTGTCGAATTTGAAAAAATGTTCAAAATATCCATGAATTCAAAAAAATGTTCACGAATTTTAAATAATGTCCACATATTAAAATATACATATTTTTAAAATGTTCATGAAATTAAAATATTCATAAATTTTAAAAAGGATCATAGTTTCGCGAATTTGGAAAAAAATCGTTAGTTATTGAAAAATAAGTGTAAAAAATGGATAATAAAAAGAAAAAAGAAGAAACATAAAAAAATAAAAACAGAAAGAAACCGAAAAAGGGGAAGGGAAAAAATAAAAATAAAGAAAGGAAGAAACAAAACCTGATGGAAGGTTCTGGAACCTTCCCAAAACCGATCTCGCAAAAAAAACTTCCCAAAACCGGACAGAATGTTCTGGAAACTTTCTAAAACAGCTTAATGCTTCTCTACACTCTCGTAAATGGGCCGGCCTGTAGGCGAGCACTATATTTATTATACTGCTCGTAATGGGCTAGCAATCGCGCCAGCATCTGGCCCGCATGCCTGTGGCCTGCCCCCTCCAAAACGCATCGTGCACGCATATGCCACTCTCCCGAGCCCTGGAGAAATTGCTAGCCGCTGACAAGTGGGGGCAGCTTGCAACAGTCAGTCTCCGAGACCCTGACTCTTCCACCTCCTTCGCCCATCGCCTCGCCGCCGCCTCCTTCCTCTCCCCCCCTCCTCGGGCTCGGGCTCAGGCACCCAGTCAGCCCCCTCTCTCCTTAAACCCTCGGCGCGAGCCAAACCAAAATCCGACGACCCTCCCACATTCCTTGCCCCTCTCGCAAGCCGCGCCATGTCCCGCATCGCGAGGTCGCGCTTCGCCCTCACGCTCAGGTCCTCCGCCGCCCCCTTCTCCACCATTTCACCCGCCGCCGCCGCCGCCGCATCCCTCGCTTCGAAGGAGGCGCCTGCCGGCGCCGACGCATCTTCCGCTCCCAAGGAGGCGGCCGCCGCTGGCGATCCCTCCCCGGCGCCGCCTTCGGGGACCCGCAGCTCCTTCCGTCTGCTTAAGGCCGGTATCTTCACCGCCGTCACCGCCGCGCTCGGCGCCACAGGCTATGTCACATACGGTGCGATCTCCGATCCGTATTCCTCCGCAGGATCGCTCGGTTTGGTCTGGTGTCGCGCGTGTGATTCGTAGGGAGTGATTCGTGTTTTCGTCTCTGTAGCTTATTCCGTGGATGAAGTGGATCAGATGACGCGGGAGTTCCGGAAGAACTCGAAGCTCCCAATCAGCGAGGACTTGTCCTGCTTTGAGGTTACATATCATGTTTTTTGGTGCTCGTGTTGTTTTATCCTGTTGTTTGTTCAGTTGCGTGCGTGACTGCATAAACATTAAGCAGCAGCATTTGGATGAGATTAGGAAATGTGAACTTGGGATCTGATGAGGTGCGCAATAAACTTGTAACATATCATGCATGGTAGTAGTATTTTTGTTGTTGTGATTTGCATCATCCCCTATGTAGGAGCTTACACTTTCTGGAATAAAATATTTGGTCGTTTGGTTCGAGTAGCAAGGAATTGGCATGCATTAGAAGGATGCGGAAATCTTTTGGTCTGGAACATGATGTTCTATGGGAGGCTTGCATTGTGGGGGTTTGAGAAAACCTGAAGTAGTGTGCAGCAATAACTTTCTCCACTGGATATCTACCGTCAATCTTGTCTGACAATTATGGCTTTTCATGTGTGCAGAAGTTTAAGGCTATGGCTTATTCAGAAACTGTGAAAGGTAGGGACTACTGCACACTCATTCCTTGTCTTTACTGTTACCTCTTGGATACAGATTGCCAATTATCGTGCAGACATTTTCTTCAGCCACCTAATGAGCAACTCACGATCCTGTTATGATTGCTTGGTACATAAACTGGCAGCTTCCAGGCAACCTTGGAATATTTTTCTCACACACCAGTGAATAACCAAGTCTCTCCACTTTTAAGTAGTTTACAGTGGCTAGGGAACACATTTCTTTATTAACAGGAGTTTGCGTATCGTTAGACTGTATGCATCAAATTATATGTTTTCATTTACTGCGATCAATTTGTATGAAGAGGTGTGTCATTGGTACTAAAATTGTTGGCTATAATCTATTCAACCTGGCTGTTAATCATTGCATGATAATGTTTGTATAAGCACATTCTAGATTGCTCTACAAATGCACATCACTCGGAAGGAGCATGAGATGAGCTTATTGATTAACCTGACCAGCTAGATAGGCTCTTCAGTTAACATCTATTACTACATTATTTGTTAACTGTCTGCCTATGTTCCTTATCGGTTGAGTCATTCCTTCTTTTTGCCGGCTTAGTATAAACTGTATGTTCTGTTCTGCAGTTCCTGCTGCTGCTATTGACCTGTACTTGGATGTCAGGAGCCAAATTGAAGATCAAATTCAGGTTAGTAAAAAAGATAGAACTTTTGCTATTGGTGATCCATCTTTTATATTGTAAATTATCCGTTCTTTATGATACTAACAATTATATGCACTGCAGGGATTTGTTGAACCATCATCAGAAAAACTCCTTCCAGATCTACCTCCTCAAGAACAGCATGTCTTTACCATAGTTCTGGATCTGAATGAGACTCTTGTATACTCAGATTGGAAGGTGAACTCGTGTTTCCTATGAAGTTTAGAATCTTGTTGTTTGCTATGCCTGCCGCTCATGTATAAGTGTATGACTGTATGAGTAAATCTGTTAATATACCACAAATTTACTAGGGTTTTTATCATTTTTGCCACTAGTTGTGTCCCACTATTCAGTTTTACCATTAGAAGTTACAACTACTCAAAAATGCCATCGATCCGTGAGATGTTTGCTCAAAAATGCCATCGTTCCGTTAGATGTTTCCTCAAAAATGCCATTAGACATCGTTATTTTCACATCAAACTCATTGACCATGTTATATGACAAAAATAAGCCTAGACCCACATGTCAGTTCTCTCTATCTCACAATGATAAGTGTGGCCCCGCTTGTCAGGAGTAACCAAGCGAATAATTTTATAGGAAAATAAGAACATCGTTGGGATCAAGTGGGCCCCACACTTTATTGTAGTAAGATAGAAGGAGAGTTGGCATGCTGGTTCATAGGTATTTATGTCATTATAACATGGCAAAAGAGATTTGAGATCACAATAATGGTGCCCAATGGCATTTTTGAACATGTGTCTAACAAAGCGATGGCATTTTTGAGCAGTTGAAAATTCCTAGTGGCAAAAGTGAGTAGTGAGACACAACCGATGGCATAAATGATGAAAACCCAATTTACTAAAGCGAGGTGTATAGAAACTCAAAAGATAAAATATGTACTAGATTCATTGGTAACACATGGTTGATTTCCCCCCTCTGTATAAGCCTCCCTATTTTAGTTTTGTATAGTATGCAGGCTTTATTTGTTGCCCCCTCCCCCCGCCCCCCGGTGCTGAATATTGGTTGATGAAGAATTATTTATAATAACTGTTTTCCATATATATTTATAGCGTGAGAGAGGATGGAGGACTTTTAAGAGACCAGGAGTGGATGCCTTTTTGGAACATCTTGCGAAGTTCTATGAAGTTGTTGTGTATTCTGATCAATTAAGTATGGTAAGTTTTATTCTTTAACTATTCAGTGTGTGTGTGTGTGTGTGTGCAAAATCTAACTCAAATGAAACTTTGTTACATGTGTAGTACGTTGATCCTGTTATGGAAAGACTGGATGCAAAAGGCTGTGTCCGGCACAGGCTATCAAGAGTTGCAACTAAATATGTGAATGGAAAACACTATCGGGTATGGGGATCTTACCTGCTGCTCCTGTCGTTAATTGTGTAGCTCAACAGCCATCACTCTAGAAAGTTCGTAAATACTCCTATGTTACATATTGTGTATGGGGATCTTGCCTGCTGCTTCTGTTGTTAATTGTGTAGCTCAATACCCATCAATCTGGAAAATTAGTTAATATGTTACATATTGGGTGAAACAGTTTATGTTATTGATGCTTTAATTTAAATCCCCCTATCTGTCAGATAAGTCTTATGTATCCTGTGTGATGTCTTTTGAAATGTATACTTTTCCTAGTAATTTAGAAGATGCTAGGTTATATGTTGGCACAACATGGATCTCAATATGCTAAATGCTAGAACTGGTCGCACATACTTTTACTTTTCTTACATCTTGACAAGGTTTGTTATCTGTTGCACAAAATTATTAGTGATCATGAATTGCATCATGCATTTTTGTTTTTGATAGAACTTTAATTATTTTTTTAGAGTTGTCACATGTTTACACTGTTGTAGTTTAATTTTTTTTACAGCACCACTGTGTCGCCCCTATAGGTTGGGTTATAGAGACATGCTATTATGCACGAGTAATGCCTTCTCTTACAAGTTTTTCTTTTTTGCAACATATAGAGAGTTGCATAGCTTTATGTGCATATATGCTTTTGCACTATTTTGGGGTTTCTAATGACATTCATGCTGCCACCGATTTTGCGTCGCTGGCGCCAGGAGTGTGCTGCTGGCATCATTGCCGTTGGACTGCTGTGGGCCTCCCCCTTTTGACTGGAATGGACCTCCCCCTTGGTGTATAAACCAGACTCTGACCCTTACCCAACTCATTCTAAAGCATAATCCAATCCGGTCCTACCTTATTAACTGTGGCCTATTTCAAAGCGTCTGGATGCGAGTGCGTTAGAGGACCCTAGCCCTTTTAGGCCCTGATGAACTAGGCCCATTACCAGACCTAACTGGGAGGCGCTGCAATCATCCCATATGTATTGATAGGGCTAAGGCCTCATGTAGGGGTGTTCAATCACGAATTGGGACAAAATGTCTAACCCGGCTACTTGATAGCCTAGTAGAGTCGTAATTGTATTGACCGGCTTGAGCTATTTGGGCAGTGTAAAAAAATGAGTAGATGGACCGTGGCAGTTTTTGGACGGTTTGAGGAAACTGTTTTTGAACACCCCTGGCATCATGTACTGGTTATTTCTCCCCACTTTTTCAGTTACATATTATGTGCCTTGAGAAGTTGTCTAGTCAAAGTAAATTCTATGGAGATTAATCATGGAAATTCATTTTAATACAATCACCTTATGGTAGATCATGCTGCTTATATCTGGTGATTAGTTACTGAATAGTGTGCTGACAATTCCCCACCAAGTCATTCTTTTGGTGATGAATAATGCTTGTTCAATCCTATTGAAATGTGGTAAATATTATTCGAAAAACCTGTCAATACTATAAGGTCTTATATAGTAACATATTTATTGAGGCAATGTGATCTTTCCTGATTTTTAATGTATCTGATGTTCTGCAGTGCTATGCAATTGTCCCATCTTACATTATGTTGTCATTTATTAGGATTTGTCAAAGCTGAATAGAGACCCTGCACGAGTTATTTATATCAGTGGGCATGCTCTTGACTCATGCCTGCAGCCTGAAAATTGTTTGCCGATCAAACCATGGAAGCTTGAAGCTGAGGACACTCAACTGATTGATCTTATTCCATTGCTTGAATGTAAGCTATATGGAATTGAATGTTTTTCCTTCCAGTTTTTGTGTTCTGCTAGGTGTTGCCACCTTTGGAATCTTGATAAATTAACAAATCCTGCAGTTGTCGCTACGGCAAGAGTTTCTGACATCAGACCTGTCCTTGCATCCTTTGAAGGCCGTGACATTGCTGCTGAATTTCTTGAGCGTTCAAGGTAAGCAATTGTATTTGTATCAGCTACAGGCTTCTAGTTGCTTCCAGATGTAGTGTAGGTAATCTATTCTTGGAATATAAGGTGAATCCAACCTGTGCAATGCTTTCCAAAGCTAACAAATAGTGTTACGACTACAAGTTTATGCATCACACTCGATCAGCTCGGCAGAGCTGTTTAGTGAGTTGGGTCCGTGCTGCGAAGAAACAAAATATTGGTTGTCACACTAAACTGGGCATCATGCAACAGTTTGTTCAACAAGAAAGTAATCGATCAAGTTAACCAAAGTACACAAGCTACTCTTGCCGTCATGATTGATAGTGATTGTTTTTGTTCTTGCCGGGACAAAAAAAGGTTGAGAGTTTCCTTGCTCATGCTGCCATAACAGAATTTTTGGACAACCTTAATTTGGTTCAAATAACTGGCATGTATACGCATGACAGGTTTATGACCATGTTATATACTGATGATATATTCTCAATGAAGTCTGCTAAAGGTAGTTTTGACCATATTTTCAAAGCAGACCCATATTTTAGGATGAACTGAACTAAACTTTGCCTTTGACTTGTTTTTTACATTTTCTGGTTGTCCTGGTGAACATGCAGACGCTTAAAATGTTTTAGTTTAATTCTGGTGTACGCTCGCTGCCTTGCTCCTTAGTGAGAGACGTACCATTCGTCCAAAAGTATCAAGCAGTGGACGTAAAGTGGACAACCTACTCGGTACTTAAACTATACATACATACATACATATATATATATATGTGTGTGTGTGTGTGTGTGTGTGTGTGTGTATGAAGCTGAATCATAATTATAACACCGAAGAACATAGTAACTTCCATAATGCAAGTGAGAAGCTGCAGTTCGCAGGATTTTTGATAAAAAGAATTAGCACATGCCACTCACTTAAGTTGTGTTTTCAGCGCATCCTACCGCGCGTCAGTGAGGCAAGTGGTAGCATATCCTGAAAATCCCCCTTTCCGATGATCTAAAGTCTTAAACACATGCAGCAACTGATTGTGTGCATTAGAATGCACTGTTTGATAATCACTCTCTTAGGCCCTGCTTGCCAACTTTGAAAAATATGCGGCCAGATTAAATTATAAATGTAAATCAACATGCACAATAATTAACCTTCAACAACTGTCAGTCACTTGGGGACTGTTTGGTTTCCAGCCGCCAAAGGTTGCCTGACCTAAGGTGAGGCACACATAATTTCTTAGGTGAGTGAGTGTTCGGTTGGCTGCCACAGTTGTGGCCTGTGACTTTACTAGTCACATTACTCATGAGTACAGACTCGTTTTTTTCTTTAATACCAGTATATTTTTTACCACTGTCTTGAGGGGTAAATCATTACTTTTTTTTGGCTTAGTTGTGGCAAAGTTAGCTTTTAACCAACTAGGCCCTTCGAAATGATCAAGTTTATTGCCAGCATATCATTTTTTATTTTGTACCAATTACAAATCAAACTCATCCGATGTCAAGTAGATATTATTTCATATGTATATAGGATTGTTATTTATAGGAATTGAATAAGATATGGATCAAAATGAAGAACCGATTATATTGGTCTATACTAGTGATCTAAACAGTCTTATATTAGTTCACAGAGGGAGTACATGTTAATCCACCAATCATATTGGTTTTGTTTCTGAGGGGTAATATTTACTATTTAGATATCCTCGCTATGTATGATGGGTGTCTGTGGTTGATATTTTAGTTTCCAGCTTTTTGTAGTGTATAATCCTGGTAGGCTCCAGCAATCAGTTTAGGTGTGAAGTGCTACGTAGCTTGTTTTTCAGCTACTATTCAGAGCAATCTTCGACAAAGTGGAGATTTCCTGAAGTGTTGAAGTGCTGCTTAGCTTCCTTTTTTCCAGACCTAATCTGACGGGATCAAAAGGAAGTTAGGTTTTTACCTTAGTAGGTTTTGGTACTGCTTTAGGAACTTCCAAACTTCCACTTTGTTGTAGAACTGTAATGCTCGGTGAAGAAATTTAACGTGTCTGAAATATGAATTGCTAACAACCCAGCCACCAAAGTATATATGAACTTGATGGCACTTCTCAACTTTTGATATTTGCTTATTCACATGGTTGTCCTGGGATCCTTTGTTTGATTAAGAGGTTCTAAGAACACAATCCATCATTTTGCAGGCGCGTGTATGAACAAAAAGAACAAAAACAACAACATGGACGCATTTGGCGGCGATGATGAGTGAATCTGCTGGTAGGGAAGCAGATCATTCCACCAACTTCAATATACCTAGAACCTTTTTTATAACTGTAAGACTTGTCTTTGTAATTTTGTCAACTTTGATTTTTCAGGAATCGCCTACTTTTGGTAATTGCGTCATGTTTCAATTACTATAGGTGTCTTGGACTGATGTCTGACCAAGCTATATGAGCATTTTATGATCATGCGAGGCGCATGTCAATTTAAAGTTCACTTTGTTGACATTTGACAATATGATAATTTGTTAAAACAAGCTTCCAGTATTATATTTCATTGATTGCTGTTACCCAGCAAAAAAAAAAGTGCGGTTTTACAATGTCAACTGATGGACACGGATTTTTGGCTCCTGGGTGCTCCATCCCCCTATATGAACATTAAATTCGAAAAAAATACTGGAAAAACTAAAATAGAATCTGGTAGTTTGGGATATCAAATCTGGGTGCCCAATCTAGTCCTGTGTAGAGTTTTGTGAAAAAATGATATTCATGGTACTCTCGGTAAAAAAGATAAAAAAATCCTACATACAAAAAACTGTTTGGATGGGTGATAGGTCGGACTGTATTTTCTTTGCCATGGATACATTTCTTGGTAATTTTCCAGGAAACTTCACACGGGAGTAGATTGGGCACACAGGTTTGAAATCCCAAGATTCCATGTTTTTTTTTAATTTTCTGGTATTTTTTGGATTTGATATTCATATAGGGGGTGAAGCACCCAGGAGCTCCTGTGCATTTTCCATCAACTAATGTGGTTTAATAATTGTTTGTTATGTTAGTGGTATTCCTGAACCCTATATGGTGGTAGGTTTACCTCTTTATTTGGACGGCTGATACTGGTCCTGGTGAAAATTCTGAAAAAATATTTTGAAACTACTCTCTCCAATCCATATGTACCCTCCGTCCCATAATATATGAGGGAGTACTGTTTTTGTTAGTTTCAATACCATGCCTTTAAAATGTAAGCACTCCAAATCTTCTACCTAGCTTGGCTTGCCATCTTCCTTTCGTCTATTCTGCCTTGTCCACACCGCCCCTTTCTAGCTCCCCCACCATATCCTAGCTCAGACGCCGCCTTCAACCCACGGCGCAGCTATTGCCGGACAAGGTCGCTGGCACCAGACGCCGCTCTGCTGCCCCGGTACGTCATTTTTAGGCAAACGATGGATTTGTTGGATGATGACTATGAGAACAAGGACTTTGACGAATTCATATACAAAGAGTTCGTCAATTCGTAGGATTCAGACGGCAAAGATGCTGAAATGCATGATGATGATGGGCATTCAGGAAGAAATAGAGAAGCAAGTGGAGCAAAAAAAAAGGTTAAAATCATTGGTTTTATACTGTTTTCAAAATAATTAATTTGTCATTTCTGTGTAGCTCATGTGTCGATGTATTTTCTCATGGAAATTTGCAAACATGCAGTACACTCCCTCCGTTTCTAAATATAAGTCTTTTTAGAGATTTCAACAAATGACTACATACGAAGCAAAATGAATGAAAATACACTATAAAATATGTCTACATATGGTATGTTGTAGTCTATTTAAAATGTTTAAAAAGACTTATATTTAGGAACGGAGGAAGTACATCATATGACAATGTGCATTTTTTCAGAACATTTTGAAACTTCAAAACATTTGTTTTGATTTATTTTTTTAAAAAAAGCACCAAAACGCATTTCTGCTGCCGCGAGCCGCAGGCCCCACAGCGCGGACGAGCCGCTTGGGTTTATCGTGGACGCGGGAGCATCGCGTGGCCGAGTCCGGAGCCCTCTCTCCCTCGCGCGTGTTTCCATCGCATAATCTTGGACGCGCGCGTCCACACTAGTGCAGAGCACCGGGCAAAGACCATTGCAAAGGGGCAGTAGGAGCGGCACGGCGGCGATGCAGGCGCGCGCGTTCCCCCCGTGCCTGCCGGGCCCCGGGCGCAACGACCTCTTCCTCGGCAGCGTCGGCAAGAGAGCTCCTACCGTCCGCGTCCGAGCCGTTGACGGGCCTTCGGCCGCCGCAGCCGTTGCCGACCTCCCGGGCGCGGAGGTCACCTGGCAGATCGTCGTCGGTGCTGTAGGTCGGCCCATGCGTGAACGCTTCATTTGTTTCTCTCCTAGCTACATATTGCTAGTTCCTCCCCTCCCCTCCGAGTAACTCTTGTATCTGACGGTATCTGCCGGCTTTCGGCCCACTTCCTCCTGCAGCTGGAGTGACGCCCTTCGTCGTTGCAGGGGTCGAGTTCAGCAAAAGAATTGTGAGTTCTGGCTCTGTTTCTTGCCCTTCTTTGAGGCCGTACGTGCTTGCTATTCATTGGCTGCAGGAAATATTTAATCTGTTGCGCAGAAAATTAGCGCCCTTTGCCATCTAAATTCAACGCAGCACTGCTAACCAGCCGCTAAGGAATATTAATAGTTTACTTAGGGTTGTAGCAGTATTCTTCGAACGGCCAGGCCTATGAGCCAGGGCACCGGATCCACAGCTGATATATCCCCTTTCAAACTTGGTCATTATTGCTACACTTTGCTTTATAATGGATGCTCTTCTCTTTGTTTAGATTGAACAAAAGAAATGTGAGATCTGTGGAGGCTCTGGCCTCGTAATGAAGGAAAATCTATATGTTCGATGCCAAGGGTGTGGTATGCACTCTATGCTTCAGTTTCACTGCACTTCTCCTGAAGCGAGAGCAGATTTTTGTTTACTCTTCGGTGTGCAGACATTGTGACGCTGTGCTGTCCTGCTTCTTTGTCAGGTGGTTTTCTTCCATGGCAGTCGTGGAGAAGATTCTTCAAAGGGTGAAAATCGTCAATCACATGTCACCTCGATCATCTCTAGATAGAAGTATGGATGGGAGACTGTAAGGCCATTGTGGTCAGTACAATGTGTTTAATTGCGTTTCAGTAAAGCAAGTTAGACTGGTCGTTCCGAATTAAAAGAAGCACTTCAGACTGTTGTAGAGTTGATTATGCATATTCTCGACTAGAAATGGCCAAACACCGATCAAAAAGTGCATCACGGTGCGTTGCTGCTATTCGAGATCATGCTAGTCCTCATGGTGCGCAGTGACTCACGCTGCAAAGTAATACTCCTACTGCTATTCTGCCGTGCGTGGAGCTTATCTTTCAGATCAGCTGGTCGCACGTCTTCGTCGCACTAACTTCTCGTTTTTTGCACCCGATAACGACTGAATGTTCGGGATTTGAGCATGGTAAATCGAACGTTTTCTATGACAATTCCATACTCAGTCATGTCAAGTAAACTTGTCATCCCCACGTCGCTAAAATTGTCATAAAAAACGTTTAATTTGTTATGGTCAAACCCTGAACGTTTGGGATTTATCGTTTTCCATTTTTTGCCGGATTCATTGTGGAGATATTAGGTTGGCCATAGTGATGGTATCTTAGCCGGTATCATGTACTCGGAATTAGCAAACATGCTGATGTTGGCAGACAATTAAAGAAGAGAGAAAGGTAACATTGTTGAAGATATTCGTAGCTATCTCTAGGCGTCACGCATGTAATCTTTCTGTTATGTTTTTATCTCCTGTAGGTAGTTGAAAAGATTCTATCTCCACCTCTCTTGTTCTCCAAGAATGTAACTTAAACAAATGTATGCGCCTATGGGATAAGCCCCATCAATTTATAAATACACGCGGCCCTCCAACGAGGGTGATACGCTTCCTCTTATCGATTTCCACATGGTAATCAGAGCATCCTCTTCCTTCTCGTCATAAACCACAAAAGCCTAGATCGATCTCTCCACAGAAAAACCATGTCGTCCTCCTCCACGCCAACTCTCTCTGGCCTTGGATCCATCACAGAGAAGCTTACCCGCGAGAACTACCTCCTGTGGAAGGCGTAGATCCTGCCGCACTTCCTCGGGGGCGGGCCTTTACGGCTATCTGGATGGCACCACTGCTGAACCAGAGAAGACGCTCACCGTGAAGGACAAGGAGGGCAAGGACCAAGTCGTCATCAACCCGGCGTATGAAGCCTGGATGCGTCAGGACCAGTAGGTCCTCGGGGACCTCATGAACAACATGTCAAAGGAGCTACTGGTCTCGGTCGTTTCCATCAGGACGGCACGAGCACTCTGGACATCATTGGGTAATATGTTTGCTTCTCAATCACGCTCACATATTAATAATATTTGGATCTCCCTATCCAATGCCAAAAAGGGCAACCAATCTGCACCGGTGTACTTCTCCCAGATGCGTATCCACGCAAACGAGCTTGTTGCAGCGGGGAAGCCACTGGATGAAGACGAACTCGTCTCTTTCCTGCTGGCGGGGCTGGACCTCGACTACAATCCTCTTGTCTCGGCCCTAGATGCCCGCACGGAGCCGGTCACCGTCGACGCACTCTATTCCCAAGTGTGCAACTTCGATCAGCGAGTCGAGCTGCTCACAGGAGGCCATGATGTGGGCTTCAAGTCTTCGGCAAACTCTGCCCGTCGTGGTGGAGCTCCCCCTCGTGGCTATGGCAGGGGGAGAGAACAGAAGCAAGGCGGTGGTGGCGGTGGCTACAAGAAGAAGAAGACCACCGGCGGGTGCCCCTTCTACAACAACAACAAGGGTGCTCGTCCAGGTGGTGGCTCATCCAACAGCAACAAGGCCAACAATGATCCGATCCAGTGCCAGATCTGTGGCAAGATCGGTCACAGCGCAAGGGACTGCTGATACTGCTTCAATGATGATGCTCAAGAAGAAAAAGTTGCTGCTGCGGCTCAGTATGGTGTTGACACCAACTGGTACGTCGACAACTGCGCAACTAACCACCTCACAGGAGAGCTGGAGAAGTTGACGACCCGTGAGAAATATCGCGGCCACGACCAAATCCATGGTCCAGATGGATCAGGTATGAGAATAGATCATGTTTGTCAATCAATTATCAAAACCCCTAGCCGTCCTATTCATCTTAAAAATATCCTTCATGCTCCTCATGCTAAAAAAAACTTCTTTCTGTACATCGCATTGCTCTAGACAATCATGTATTACTTAGAGTTTTACCCCTTCTTCTTTTTGATTAAGGATCTGGCAACGAGGAAGGTGCTCTACAGAGGTAGATGCATTGGAGGGCTCTATCCGTTGATCCCTCGCTTTAGGAGCTCAAATAAACAAGCTTTTGGTGTCACCCAATTATCTTCGGCAAGGTGGCATGATTGATTAGGACATCCTTCTTTTACTATTGTTCAACGAGTGCTTTTAAAAAAATAAGCTCCCTTTTGTTGGTGATCCTAGTAGTGAAACATCGTGTGATTCATGTCAAAAAGCAAAAAGTCATCAACTCCCATATCCCGTGTCAACTAGTGTTTCTTCCAAACCATTAGAACTCATTTTTTCTAATGTATGGGGGCAAGCACCCACTTCTGTTGGTCGACACAAATACTATGTAAGCTTCATTGATGATTATAGCAAGTATACATGGATCTATCTTATTAAACATAAATCTGATGTGTTTCAAGTTTTCCAAAATTTCCAAGCACTTGTTGAACGAAAGTTTGATAGCAAAATTATCACAGTCCAATCGGACTGGGGTGGTGAGTATGAGAAACTAAACTCGTTTTCCCAAAAATTGGCAATTTCCCATCATGTTTCTTGTCCTCACGCGCACCAGCAGAATGGTTCCGCTGAACACAAGCATCGTCATATTGTTGAAGTTGGTCTTTCCCTACTTGCCAATGCCTCCATGCCATTAAAGTTCTGGGATGAAGCCTTCCTCACTGCCACACATCTCATTAATATTCTTCCAAGACGTGTCATCAACTACCAAACACCTACAGAACGGCTTTTGCAAACCACACCGAACTATGCCTCCCTCCGAGTTTTTGCGTGTGCATGTTGGCCCAATCTTCGACCCTACAACGCTAGAAAACTTTCCTTTCGCTCAAAACAGTGTGTGTTCATTGGTTATAGTCCACAACCCAAAGGGGTCAAGTGCTTAGATGTGCAAACCGGACGAGTTTACATATCTAGGGATGTGGTGTTTGATGAGACTGTTTTTCCCTTTCAAGATCTCCATCCCAATGCCGGAGCCCTCCTACAAAAAGAAATTCTTCTTCTTCCTAGTTCCCTTTCCAGCTTAGATCAAGGGGTAATGATATTTTTGATGATCACACGACTAACCCTCATAACCATACAACACAGTCTCCTAGCGATGCAGATGATACAGGAATTTGTGGCGCAGAAAATGGTGCAGAAACTGCTGCAAATGAAGTTGTACATCAACCAGTATTGCATGCAGCAAAACCGGACACATGCGCTGGACACGAGGGAGATTCACCTGTGCCTGCAACCGCGTCGGGATCACCAGGCCGTAGATCCCAGGAGGATCGCCTGCAATAGCAGGCCACCTCGGAGTCACGCGCGCGTCGCAGCGACAACGCCTCCCCCACGAGGCGGGCCACGAACGCGTCGTCCAGTGCGCGTGGACTGCGTATGGACCCACCTTCGGGTCAATCATCACCCGCCACGCGTGGTGTGGTTCGGCAGGCCCCCAACAGCGACCGGACCCTCGATAGCGACCGTGTGTCCCCCAGCGCAGATTCGCCTGGCGCGCCTGGCGCACCTGACGGTGGATCGCCCTCGGGATCCACTTCTGCCAGCCTGTACGCCGAGGCAGATCTTTTGCGACCAGATCAGCAGCGCCAACTCCTGTAGCGCGTTCTACACGTGTTGGTACACGTCTACAAACAGGGAAAATTAATCCTGTCAATTACAAAAATATTCTTAAATTCGGGCTGACATGTTCTACAGATGTACCACATTCTGTTGAAGAGGCGTTGAATGATGCTAAGTGGAGAAAAGCCATGGAAGAATAATACAAGGCCTTGAGGAAAAAATGAGACTTGGCACTTGGTTCCACCGGGTCAAGGTAAAAATTTGATAGATTGCAAATGGGTATAGAAAATTAAAAGAAAGACTGATGGCACTATTGACCGGTATAAGGCTAGGCTAGTAGCTAAAGATTTCAAACAGAGATACCGGATAGATTATGAGAACACGTTTAGTCCTGTTGTCAAGGCTGCTACTATCAGGCTTGTGTTGTCTATTGTTGTTTTCAGGAATTGGTGCTTAAGGCAATTGGACGTACATAATGCGTTTTTTACATGGTATTCTAGAAGAGGAGGTTTACATGAAACAACCACATGGGTTTGAGAACAAGCATGCACCTTTCCATGTGTGCAAGCTTGATAAAGCTCTATATGGTACTCACGGTTGAGTGCAAAATTGCAAAATATTGGTTTTGTTCCATCCAAGTCAGACGATACCTCATTGTTTATTTACAATAGGTCTAATATCACAATGTTCATGCTCATATATGTTGACGATATTATTGTCACCAGCTCATCTAGTGAAGCAGTGACAACACTTCTGAAGGACTTGGGCTCAGAGTTTGCTCTCAAGGACTTGGGAGATCCGAGTTTCTTCTTAGGGATTGAAGTCAAGCAAACTGATAATGGTACAGTTCTCCCAAGAAAAATACACAACTGATCTTTTGAAAAGAGTTGGCATGCAGAATTGCAAACCCTCTCCAACTCCGTTATCTAGTTCAGAAAAACTATCTTTGCATGAAGGAGAACTTCTAAGTCAGGACGATGGCACTCAATACAAGAGTATGATTGGTGAACTTCAATATTTAACCCTTACTAGACCTGACATTTCTTTTTCTGTGAACGAAGTTTGTCAGTTTCTACATGCACCTACCACCTTACATTGGTCTACTACAAAGCGTATTCTGAGGTATGTGAAGAACACAATAAGTGTTGGTTTAACATTCAATAAATCTCAGTCTACTCTT